TATTAAGCAACACCTGAAGTGTCCATTTTTTTTTTTCAAAATCCATTAGGTTTTTCTGCTTTCTTCATTTCCAATCATCCTAGTTGACTTTCTAATCAAATTTTTGTTGTTGTTCAGTAGTTTTTCCGTTGTATCTGGCTCTTCATGACCCTCTTCGGGGTTTTCTTGGCAAAGATACAGGAATGGTTTGCCATTTCTTTCTTCAGCTCATTTTACAGATGAAGAAACTGAGGCAAACAGGGTTAAGTGACTTGCCCAGGGTCACACAGCTAGTAAGTGTTTGAGACCAGATTTGAACTCAGGAAGATAAGTCACTCTGACTCTAGGCCTTAGCACTCTATCTACTTCTACTTTGCCACCTAGCTGCTGTTGATTTTGCCAGTCAAAATAGATACTAAATAAAATGAACTTTCATTACACTTCTAACTTACAGGCTTCAGTCAACTCTCAATTACCTGTGAGAAGGTCTTCATTCTAGATTGGTTTATGCTTCCCACCCAGTATCCTTCAAGGCCAAGTCAATAAGCATTTATTAAGCACCTGCTATATGCCAAGTACTGTGCTTTTAAGCAGTCCCTGTTCTCAATGAATTCACAATCTAATAGAGGAGACAATAAGCAAATAGCTATAGAGAAACAAGATATACAAGATAAATTGGGGTTAAGATTAAGGAGGACCATGAAAGGCTTCTTATAGAAGGTGAGACTTAGCTGATACCTGAAGGAAGCCAGGCAGAGACATGGAGGGAGAAAATCCCAAACATAGAGGCCAGCCCTTGAAAATAAACCAAGCTGGAGATAGAAAGCCATATATAAGGAATAGCAAGGGGGCAAGAATCTTTGAATCATAGAGTATAAAGAGGGGAATAGGGTTTAATAAGACTGCAAAGCTAGGAAACAACCAGACAGATTCTTCATGATTTTGTGCATTGTTGTATTCTTTGAAAAGTAATGTTAATATTAGTGTAAGACAGACAAAAGAAAAAAAGCAAATCCAGTGGACGAAAAGAAAAACTAGGATACATGCAAACTCACCACAGAAATTATGTATGGTCAAACCAAACATAAATGATTTCTGGATTTTTTGTTACATTAAACTCTATGCCACAGCTCTCCTCTAGGAACATAGATACTGGTTGACTATGCTGATTTTGGATGAGTTAGTAAGGAAATGGTCCCAGAGAGATTAGGATTCGAAAGATCTGAAGTACAAACTTAGAGAAATCATTTCACCAGAATGGACCTCAGTCTATAAAATAAGAATGTGTCTGCTAACATCTTCTAGCTCCAAATCTATGATCCTAATGTCCTAGTGTCCAAAAGCTAAATAGATATTCAACTTAAAGTATTCCTATCAGGGTTGCAATTAATTTGTCTAGGTACTCTTTTAGGTGAGGGTAACAGAACCCAGGAGAATATCTGGATCCAATGAACCTGAGCAGATTAAATCATTTCTAGATTTTGGTCATGGGTAGGTAAGAGTCTGGGACTCTGGGTGGGTGCTCAGCAGATGAAGGGGTATCTCATTTGATTTCAAACTGAATCCATGGGAACATGTACCACTAGGATCCTCCAAAACCAATTTTGTTCAGGGAAACAGGTATCTTAACCTTGAAGTCAGAAGATAAAATCAGAATCATAAAATCACAGTGTTTGAGATGTTTGAGATGGATGAGATCTGCTATTTTAACAGATGAGGCAGCAGATCCATAGAGAGAAGGTATCTTCTCCAAGGTCATAAAGTGGCAGAGCTGGGACTTGAACCCAGGTCTTTCTGATTCTCAATCAAGAGCTCTTTCTGCCATACCTGAGTTAGAATTCTGGCTCAATCATTTACTTGCTGTTAGATCAGTCATGAATATACCCCCCCCCCCCAGAGTCTGATGTAAAAGAGAGACAATATTTAACACTACTAACCTTACCAGGTGATTGTGAGGATTAGCTCCCATATATGTAAAATCCTCCCTAAACATTGAAGTGCTAATGAATGTAAGTTTAAAATTGTTATTTATTCAGATAAGGGATGTTTCAGAACTGGTACAGAGCTCCCAGGGTTGTTGTTATTGGAAGGTGACCCCAGGAAGTGATCTTAGCCCAGGGCAAACCTGACCTAAAACAAAAAGGCTTTACCAAAACTACACAAGCTTCAGGGAAGTCCTGCATTTAACCCCTATTAACTTCAGGCCATCACCCTACCATTCAATTGTCACAGAAACTTAGCATCTTTTTCTGGCACAGTTACCTGATATCCTCAGTATTCATTTTCCTGGCTGTGAAAATGGAATACCGTCACTAACTCACCCCAAAAGAAAGGTAGCATAATGTAGTAAACATCACTGCCAAAGTTCAGATACTACCTTTGACGATGATTAGCCATGTGACCATGGACAAGAAATAATAATGATAATAGCTAACATTTATATAGCACCTAATTTGTGCCTGGCACCAAGTTAAATGCTTTATAAATAAGTCACTTGAACCTCACAACCACCCTGGGAGATAGGTGCTATGATTATTCCCATTTTACAGATAAGGAAACTAAGGCAAACAGGTTAAGTGACTCGCCCATGGTCTTGCAGGTAGAAAGTATCTGTGGCCAAATTTGAATTCAAGTTTTCCTGATTCCCGTCCCACAGTTCTATCCACTGCACCACCTAGCTGTCTAGGTCACTTAATTCAGTTCAACAAGCATTTATTACGAATTTATTAAGTGCCTACTATGTGCCAGGCACTGTGCTAAGTACCTAGAATGAGATAGATACTAAGGTAGGAGCAAGAGATACAAAGGCAAAAATTAAAATACTTTCCAACTTTTCTGAGACCCTTTACCCATCTGTAAAATGGGGTTAATAAAACCTGTAAGACTAACGTGACAGGGTTGTTGGGAGGCTCAAATGAGTAAATGCATATAATTTGCAAACTTTTAAGTGCTAGATAAATGTCACTTATTGTAATGTTAAACATTTATAAACTTTTCTTAGTCCCTTAGAACAAGATGCTCTCCCCCTACTAGACTCACTGTGTTTGTGTGCAAGGTTTCAAAGAGACACACAAAAGAAATGTGCCTAATATTTGCAGAACACTTCTTTGTTTCTAAAGTGCTTTGGTAGCTACTGTTACATTTCAACACGATGACATTCCTGATGACATTCCTGTTTGACATGGTAGGGTAGGTATTGTTATTCCCATTCTATTGATGAGGCAACTGATGGGCAAAGAGGTCAGGCAACCTGATCTAGTTCACAAAGCTAGTAAAAGCTACAAATAGATAGATATTTATGTCATACACACATTATATACATAATATGTACATATACACATATAATATACATAATATGTACATATACACACATATACATATATACACTTGCACATATACACACATATGTATACATATATGGAATTAAGTACCCTTTCCCTAACAACTCTTCATTTTCTCCACTATTAGAGGTACAGGATGGAATTCAGAAACTAGTTTAGATCTTTTCTCCTTTCCAAGCTACAGCACAAATTACCATTTAAAAATTTTGCCTCCTTTTTCTTTTCCTCCCAAAGTTTTTTTTTTTGGGGGGGGATAAGATAATCAATCACCAATGAAATACACATACATATCCACAAATGCAAACACACAAAATAGGGCAACAAGATGGATAAGGAAGAAGTATTAGGAATCCATAACTTGGATAACTAATTCCTAAATAGTTTCTCAAGTGAGATAACATGAGATGTAAAGATCCTTTCAGGTTTTAAAGTGCTATTTATTATTGTTATTGTTCACATATTTTATTTTCTAAATTTTGCTCCCTAGCTAGACATTCTTCCCTAGCAGGGATTGTGGCAAGCAATGGGCTGGAGTCAGGAGACCAAGATCCCAAAGCCGTCGCCACCCATTCATCCCAAGCTGGAACTCTTGGTTTCCCTCTTTTTAATTAGTTGCCTGCTTTTGACTTGCTCACCATCACACCACTGTCCTTCCTTCTTTGGAAATTTGGAAGGCTTCCTCCATGAAAAGTGTCCTATACCTTGCTACCAGAGTTTCTGGATTTCCCCTTTTCTGCTTCTCTCTACCCCAGGTACCCCTCCCCCTTTTCCTATGAGAAGTTCTGGGAGATGGAGAAAGGAGGTCATCATTTCTCTGTCGTATAAGGAAAGGAGGGTTGGGGTCCCGATTAGTGCACTGAATTAGAGGTATTGACTGGGCAATTGCAGAGCTGAACATCGGTGCTTGCTTTCCTTAAAAACAAAATAAAGCACTGCTCACCTTTCCCACCAAACTACCATCAACAATCCTCCATTAAAGTATTATGCTTCAGTACCATCCTGGTACAGAGGCGACCCTGCCTCCTAGAAGCTCGAGTTTTGGCAGGTTCTCCCAAACTGGCAAGGCTTCAATTACAGGCCCAGTCAAGGCTGTGTATCTTTCTTCGGAGAGCCAGCCGGCTAAATCCGAGAGGTTCATTACCAGAAGCTGGATGCCTGGTGAGGCGGATTTTCGTTTTTCCTTTGGCCACAGAAATTCACGAAATTAAGGCGTGGAGGAGTCATGATCTGCACGGACTGGGGAAATACTGGCCCCATGAACTCACAGATCTTTAAAAGTATATAAGCAGGAGAAAAAACAACAACATTGCTCGTTCCCTGAAGCCTGGGTTGGATGGCTTTGAGTCACAGTCGGCGGTGGCAGCAGCCCATTTTCCCTCCGGGTGCTCCCTTGCTTCTCCCAGCGGTTCTCACCGCCGGGCTCCAGGCTTTGGTCCCGGGGAGGTTAAACAGCAGCATGTGTGTAAAATGTGTATATGTGTGTTAGTTTATAAGTGTGTATGTGTTATTGTGTGTGTGTGCATGCGTATGTGTATGTGGCCTGGAGCTTCTAACAGGACCAGGCGTGGACGACACAATCCTGGTCATAGTGAGGGTCTGCCCGGGTCCGACTCCGCCTGGCCAAGGTCCTCCTCCATCCTAAACCCAGCCCCGGTCCCTGCGCCCACTCCACGTCCTTACCTGTAGCGGGGCGAGCAGGACGCACAGCCCGAGAAGCTGGAGAAGGTGGTGGAGGGGCCGCCGCCGGCGGCAGGACGGGGCCATGGCGCGCACCAGCGCCGCTTCCCTCTAGAGCCTTGCCGGTGGCACTGGCTGTCTCGCTGCCACCCTCGCCCCACGCTCGCTGGAGCTCCCTCCCTCAGCCCTCCCCTCGCCCCCTCCCCAGCTGCCCACCGCGTACAGTCTGCTCCAGCGGGCCACAGCCACCTGTCCCCCAGGCGGGCGCTGCGGCGGTGCCACCAGTCCACACCCCCGTTCTGCTACGCTCACCCCCAGCCCTCCCACGCTCGCTCCTCCCAGCGGCCGATCGCTTCGCTACAACACCCCCTCCCCCCAGCTCTTATTTTCTGGAAAGGTGGAGATTCCTTGTAGGTGTGGGCGTAGACATGGTGAGTGGGTGGGTGTGAGAGCAGGGGAAGACTTGATGCTCAGGGGCCTTGACTTGGCTTTCAGGAAAGTGAGGAAGTTGAGCTTGATTTAAAAAATAAAAAGACTGGGGCATTAGAAGGTTAGGTGGGGAGAAAAGGGAGGGATCGAAATATATTTTTAAAAAAAAGGGAAGTACGGGTTTTGCTTTACTCAATCCTTCTCTTTGTCTGAGCTTTCCTGTTCCAAATAGTTCAAGTCCTGGCTCTTCAGTGTTACGAGCCTGAGCCCACAGGTTTCACATATGCAATGAAAACCCCCTTTAAAAACATTTTAAAAATAAACCAAACCAAAATATTTCCTGGGTCCTGAAATAAATAATACATAAGACAGTCCTAACTCCTTTATGGTTGTTGGTTACTTTGTCTGAAGTGGAGGCAATGTTGGAATCATAAGGTCAGGATTCAAAAACTTACTATCTTTGTGACTTCAGACAGGGTACGTAGTCTGTGGTTACACAAGTGGATGGGAGAGTGGAGGTTGGGGGAGGTCACGCTGGGTTTGATCAATTATATTCCCTTATCCCCTAGATGAAACTAAGGATGTCAGAATTCGAGTGTTTCCGTTGCATATGAAATGATCAGGAAGCTAAGCTGAGACCAATGAATTTACCTATGGATGTGGATTACTTAAGAGCCTCTTTTCCTACCCACTGATGTAGTGAATTAAATGAAGAGACCCAGAGTTTTAAAATGGAGGAATAGACTGTGGTGTGTCAGATAAGTGGAGACTCAGCTTTTAGGAGGCTTTGCGGGGTGGGGAATTTCTGTTCCCCCGTGTCGTTGGCAAAAACATCTTGCAGCAGAAGTATATGGCCATAAGAGATATGTGCTTGCTGGAAACCTCACCTTCAATGGAGGGAGAAGAACAGGGACAGGGACAGGGACAGGGAGGTGGAGACTGAGCAGACTTTCCTGTGTTTTGCCTGTGTTCCTACGCTAAGGAAGGTTTCTGGTCCTCTAGTTTCTGGCTAAATTAAAATCTCTGACTTGTGCAATGGGAGAAAAACAAGAACTGCAATACTCCAATACATATGTAGTCCAGGCTTGCTACTGACATGGCAACTGCACTCTCTTTCTCCCTCTGGACTGGCTCACTCACCCCAAACTGTTCTTATATTGTTAGGTCTGCTTTTTTTTTCCTGAGGGGAGGGAATGATTACAGCCTCAAAACTAAAATTCCCTCTCTTAGCGTGCTGGGGGTCACCCTGATGTGGAGGTGATATACTGCTATAACTTATTGCTTTCACTCCTGAGTTCCCACAAGTGTTTTTCCCATTTACACAAAATCAGACACAATAATACTATTGATTCTTAAACATGAACATTTACCAAATGAGAAGGTGAAAAGCAAGAGCAAATATAACATTTACTTAATAGAAGGCAAAAGCAAGAATAATTATTACATTAACTCAACATAAGAGCAGGAATAACCAAAACATAATATTCTGCCCATAAAACTGAGTCATATTCTCCCACAAATGCACACAGGTTCCATGGGGGGAAAGGGTGCACAGTTTTAGAAACCTAGTAGGGAGGTATGAGATTAAGGAAACCAATCTGCTCAGAGCAGCTCACAGCTCTATAAAGCAAGCCTTGATGTCCTTGGTCTGTATAGAGAATAATCTTCATCGTGTGCCATTAGCTGGGTAAGACAGCTTCTCTGCTATCTGCTCCCTTCTGTTCCTCACAGATCCTCCCACTGAAAGAAGCTGTTTCTATGCTGTTCCCAGGCTTTTATTTTTTTACAGCACACAGCCACCCTTGACAGGACATTGTGAGAGTGTTAAGCTATTTTAGTGACAAGCTGTTCCCTCAAACCACAGAACTGCCCTAGTTCTCTAGACAGGCTCCCCAGATCTCTCTGGAGCTCTGAGGGGTTTCTTCCTCTCAACTAGTCATAGCGCTACACAATCTTTCACTAGACAGCTTTTCAAATAGACAGGATTCTATTTTGTCTGATCCACTCATAGTAAAGCTGTTTTGCTTCTACAACTGGCACAGCAGATGCAAAGCCTTTCTTTCACCTTCTGTTTCTCCCTCTCAAACAATAAAGAACAGGACAAGCAAATTGAGAGGCTTCTCCTCTCTCAAGCTAAAACTAACACTAGTGGGCAATTCTGTAGCCAATCAGTTCTCAGCAGAGCAATACTTCTCTTCCAATCATCATGATTCCCGGCAAAACATTTGCAAACCATGCCTTTCAGTTCAGCATCTCTTAGCTTCTGTCTTGTTTAAAAACCTTCTCTTATCACCTCTTTTTTCTTCTGTCCCCAGCTCCTCCTACTCTCTCTTATTTATCTGGTCATATCTTAACCTCTCTCTTGGCTTATAAGGCCTCACTTTAGTGTCTCTTTATCAGCAGTGCTCATCTCTGTGATGTGAAACTCAAAAAATCCACCTTTCTGTCAGGGTTGATCCCAACAGTCCTTATATGATCTTTCCACAGTCCCTAAACAATTGTTTTCTTTAAAACATAGCTGAAATCTTACCTTTTGCAGGTAAGATTTACCTTTCCTCAGCTGCAGCCTTCAAAATTCTGAACACAGAATTAAGCAGATGAGCTGATGGACCATAGTGCACTATAGCCATTTTAAACTCAATGATCTGCCTTCAAACAGATCTTCTCAATATAGTTATCTGCAGGGCAGTATTCTTTTAGCGTCTCAAAACATTCTGTCTCACCTTTAGCATTTTTGTTCAAGGGACTATGCTTCTTTTCAAAGTGATTCTATCACAAAATTTTTTTTGAAGGAGATAGTTGGCATGGTGGATATTGTATTGGAGTTGGAGGCAGGAAGATCTGAGTTCAAATCCTGCCTCAGACATTTACTAGCTGTGTGACCAGGGGCAAGTTCCTTAGCATCTTTCATACCCAGTTTTCTCTATAAAATGAATATAATAACACTGCCTCACAAGATTATTGTGAGGATCAAATGAGATGATGTGTGGAAAGTGTTTTGTAAACCTTAAAGTGCTATATAAATATCATCTCTTATTTTTTTAATCCCATTTCAGCAAACAAAATGTCTACCTCACAAAGAAGCAGGACATCCTGAACTGGATGTTCTGTAGGCACCTCAAATTCAACATATTCAAAACAGAATTCATCTTTCCCTCCAAAGCCTCCCCTTTTCCTCTCCTAATATCATTGAGAGCATGACCATCTTCACCTAGGCTTACCTCAGTGTCACCCTCAAGCCCTGACTTGCAAATCTGATTGTCAACTCTTGGCATTTTTTTTACCTTTACAACATCTCTCCCATATCTCTCTTCTCTACTCAACATAGCCACTACCCTTGTACATAGCTTTCTAATTGCTCTCCCTGATTCAAGCCTCTCTCCAGTCCCATCCATCCTCTACTCAGCTGATAAAGTGATTTTCTTGAAGTTAGGTATGACTACATTCATTACCCCTGCACTCAATACATTACTGAAACAAATATGAAGTCCTTTGTTGGCATTATTGACTTCATCACCTGGCTCCTTTCTACCTTTCCATTCTCCTTATGATTTACTCTCCTGTACACAGTCTTCAATCCAGCTGCATTGGCCTAGTTGCCATTGTCTGCACAAGACACTCCCTGTACATTTGCACTGGCTTTCCATTCCCCCAGTGCGCATCACCCCAAACTTGGGATGCTCTTCCACCTCAATTCTTGTTCCTGGCTTCCTTGGCTTTCTTTAAGATGCAGCTCAAATCTTACCTTTTGCAGGAGGCTTTTCCTGCTGCCCCTTCACATCATCCCATTCTTCTAAGATCACCTTCCACTTGTACTGTATGTACAGAATTATTTGTCTGTTATCTCTACCATTAGAATGTGAACTCCTTGAGGTAAAGGACTGAGTTTTTGCCACTTTTTGCAGCCCCAAAGTTTAGCACAGGACCTGTCATGCAGTAGGCATTTAATTGATTATTGATTGACATAGACACAAAAGACATTCTTAAAAAGAAGCAAAATTCATTTAGAAATTAAAGAAGTCAGCAGAGATTATTTTAAAATTGAATATTATTTATTTATCCTGAATATCACATTACTCCTTTAATATATGTATTATATATGTATGTATGTGTGTATGTATGTATGATTTATGTGTGTTCTTTTATACAATAAAAGAAAGATCTGTGAATATATATTTGTAACCAGTTGTTCCAGGTATATTATTTTCCATTCCACTTTTAGTTCCCTAAGGGCAAAGATTGTATTGTTTTACCTATATTTATTGAATATTTGCTTTTAAGGATAGTGATTTATGTATGATTGTATATTGCATAAGAATAAGTTACAAATACAATCTTTCTTTCTTTTTTTAGTTTTCAACATTCACTTTTATAAGATTTTGAGTTCCATATTTCTTTCTCCATGGCAGATAATAACATAGCAGTAGCTCACACAGAATGCCCAGAAAGACCTGGGAAAAGCTATGTTTGTTAAGACCCTAACATTTGATGCCAGGTAAAGCTATGGTTTTACTAAAGAGAACTGAGCATTAGTTAGAAAGGCATTTTCATTGTGGCACTTCATGAGAAATACCACAACTTACTCCCGGCACATTTTCAATGTTACCCTCTTCTATTTAAAAAAAAAAATTAGGGACTTAAGACTTCTGCTTGGAAAG